TATAAAAATTGTTAATTTGAAACGACAATAAATTTCAATTCAATTAAAGTTACAAGACTTGCGACACATAAAACAATTGGTAGCTTTGACCCGCTACCAAATCAGAGTCTGTACTTTAACATTATGTTTTCAAACTTTTCCCAATTTACCCAACTTATACGTTTTTACTTTATTTCATTTTAAATGTAAATCCTTGAAATATTAGATTTCATTTGGTCAAATGTTATCTTAGGTAGAATACTTCATTTTGAAACAACTTTTAAGTGTTTTTTGGAACGGACCGTTTTGGACGTTAAATAGAATTATATTTTAAAAATTCATAAAAACTTATATTTTTTCAGATTGAATTTATTCATGGTTCTTTGAAAACACAATATATTTGTTTTGTTTACATGTAGGGGCCGTTTACCAATATGCTTACTCCGGTAAGCACTTATTAAGTCACATTACCTTACCATATGAATATGGTAATGACAAAGAATCTTATCCGTTAAGAACTAAACAAGGACCAAGAGTCTTACCCGATAAGTGGTGTCGATGACTCTTACCAATGTAAACGCTTACTGGGTAAATTGCTGCATACAATGCCTTTTTGGTGGCTAAAATCTTAACCCATAAGTAAATGATAGTGTTAAAATTTTACTGATAAACGCTTACCGGGTAAGTGTTTGGTAGACGACCCCTTAGTTTCTTTTTTTTAAGACCTCTGTGAAAGATGAGAAAAGTTTGGATTTTTAGACATGTTTCTTACATAAGTATGTTATTGTTCAGAAAGAAAAGTTGTAATATGAAAATCCGTAGATTTTACATTCAGTATACATTATATGTTTTTAATGTTAAATCTTTAAAAATTCAGTAATCCTGACATTTCAAAGTTGAAATTACAGTAATGATTGGTTAAATTTATATCGTTAAACTTTTTTGATTTGTAACCCGTTCAATAAATTTGTAAACTACAGGCATGTATTTCGATATATGGTTGTTGCTCAAGTGTTATATGTGTTTTATACCCAATTTAGTTTTTACGTACACTTCAAATTTTAAATCCCATGTTAAAGTTACATTCGTTACATCGCTTGTTAATTTGGTGATAGGTGCTTTATTCATGTATTAAGCGGTCGTTTACTAAATATTTATATTGTTAAGCGTTTACCGGTTCAACAATCTTATCGAGTAAACATAGTAAGAACCAATAATCTTACTCTGTAAAAGAAAAGACAAGAATCAAGAGTTTTACCCGGTAAATGATTAACGGGTTTAAAAAACTTGTCAACAAATTATTTTGACGATCAAAAATGTTACACAATAAGGTAAGTGAGGGTGATATCTCTTATTAGTAAGCATCTATCGGATAAACGCTTAGTAAACGACTCATAAATGCTACCGGTGTATTCGTACAACATTTTTCTTGTTCATTAAAGTAATCATGATACTCTAAATGGTCTTTGTGGGGTTACACCATCAACAAAAATAATGATATAAGGAAAAAAATTGGACGTGGTAAACGTTTTGAGTGTATTTTGAATAATTTTGAAGTCACATATGTAGCAAGTGCATTGAATACAAAATACAACATTAATTAAGGGACGGTTTACCCAGTAAGAGTTTATCGACAAGAGTTAGCATACTAACTTATATTATTGGGTAAACTTGTAGTATAATAAAATGGTATATTATACAATAGTTTAATCGGTAAACGTTTACTGGGAAAGAGTCGTCACCCTTACTTACCGTGTAAAACTCTCCATCCGTGTCGTTGCTCTTACCATGTAAGATTCTCAGCTCTTGTTATATTCATCCAGAAAGATAAATGACCCGGTAAGTATTTACTATGTAAGCATTTAATAAATGACCCCTAAGGTAATGCTTATTAATTGCTGACCGTACTAGCAATCTAACATGTAAATCTGGTCTGATAGGAGGTGTTACCCGAGTAATGATTATCCACATTAAGGACCTGTTTATCAAACGTTCACCTTATAATTAGATTTTTATTGGCAGTACTCATCATTCTCCATTATCTTATCGGCTAAAATTGCAGGTCATCAAAATGGACTGTCGGTAAGCATCCTTATTCAATAAACGCTAACCTAGTTAAAATCTTCCCTCTCACTTACTGGATAAAATTTTCGATACTTGCTATGCATCTTATCTGATAAAATTCTTGATCTTTGACATTCTTACTCAATAAGTTAAGTGACACCCAATATACATTTGGTAAACGACCTAAAAGCATCTCTAACAGATTTTTTAAAACAAAGAAAAAGAGGATTGAGGGTTGATCCAACAAATCAAATCCTCTTAAATGAAAAAAAGGAAGAGAAAGAATATTTTTTTCCAAATCTGAAAGACTCCGAAAATACTTTATTCAAACATCCTCTCTGAAATTAAATTTCTTTTTTTAATAAAATTAAAACTCGGCTATCGCAGTCATTAATTTTTCTCGTTTCTCTCTTGGTTCATGTTCTCGATCACTTAGATGTGAGATATACATCCCTTCTTGCTAAAACAAAAGCGACACATTTTCTTTTATTTCAATGTTTAAGTTTCATAATAAAGAACTATTTATAGGGATTGACATTCTGATTGGATTAAAAAAAAAACTATTTAGGGGTTGGTTATCAAACGCTTACCGGGTAAGTGATTATCAGCAAGAGCCGTCACTCTTATTAATTTACACGTTAACATTCCCCGCCACCAAAATAGATTAATGGTAAGTGTTTATAACCCGACAAAATGTTTACCGGGTAAAACTCTCCATTTTTGTCTTCGTTCTTATCGGATAAGATTCTTGGTCCTTATTATATTTACTTGATAAATTAGTTAAACCTATAAACGTTACCAAGATAAATGGTATCTTAATTCTAGTTTCTCGATTGCATAGTGAATTAATATTGTGTTTTAGAAAACGGTTACAATTAGGTTATTTTATTTTAAACCAAATAATTGTGCCAGGAGGCTTTCTTTCCCTATGCTTGTCTAAGGACATTTCTAACCCACAATTAGAAAAGAGGTTTTTTTTATTATTAAATACTGAAAGAATTGTATTCAATAATCAAGCAAATCAGGAGAAATTGTGGGCCAATAGCCAATAGGGTTTGGTCATATATGTCAGCGGAAACAAGTCACACACACGACTAGTGATGGCCAAAGGATCGGGCCGGCACTTACTGGTCCCGGGCCTCAACAGATCCGATCATAACCGGTCTCGGTTTCGGTCCTGGTCTTGGTCCCAGTTAAAAAAGGTAAGCCCAATCAAGCTTTATTATATAACTGGTTATGGACCGTTTGTTCCGGTTCCGATTATTAAAAAATATTTATTTTTTATTTTTTTAATGATATATATTTTTAATATATTATAAAATTTGTAATTGAGTCATTCAAATATACTTTAAAAATGTGTTTTATTATAATTAAAATCACATTGTCTTATAAAATATAGCGAAAACCCGAGAATTGTGAACGTTTTTTTTGCGAATTGAGAACTTGGTATCTAAACCCCTCAACCAAGACACTTACATATAGTGTTTATAAATCAAAAAATACAAAAAAAGGGCCAAGACGGTGATAACAGCTAGTTTTTTGAAAAATAACGACTACATTTTTTTTAAAAAGAACAACTACATTTTTGAAAAAATCGGGTCGGACCGGGCCAATCCATAACCGGTCCCATAAACGGTCGGTCTGCAAAACACCCCAAATTTCATCATATAACCAGTCCTTACCGGTCCCGGGTCGAGCTGGTTTGGCCATCACTTGACACGACATATGTGCCGGTCCCTTCACATCCTCTCAGTCACTGGTAAAAAGTTTTGTTAGTTTAACGATCGGATCGGTTGGATCCTCAATACCGTTAAATGTTGTGATTGAAAATGCTATTAGTCTTAAGATTTTTGTGTTTTACTTTATTTCATTGTTGATAACATTTTAATAAACCATTATTATATATTAATCTTTTAAGTTTTAAATTTAATTTTAATGTATTCAACTAATTGAACTTTATAATAAATATTTTATAATATAATAACATATCTAATTTTAACGCACCATCAAATATAAAAGATACGAGTATAACTTGTAAAGTCTAACTATAAGGGTAGTATTAAAAAGGGAAATTAATAAAAATAGTCATTTCAGCCTTATATAGTTACTTGTTGATCATTTCTCTCCTAAATTTTGTAAAGTATCCTTACTATTGCAAGTAGCAACTCCTCAACTTAAGAAGAGGTCACAATGTCAAAAAAAATGAACATGGTCCGTTATTATAAGGGACCAAATATGTACATTAGTCACAGTACTTCCACAAGTTGAGAAGTTACTACTCACGAAGTAGTAACACTTTAGAAGAGGAATATTTAAGAGATAAACCTGTTCGGCTAAAGCAACTATGTTTCTTAATTTTCTTGTTAAAAATCTATATAATCAAGAGAAAAAAAAATGTAACCAGAATACCTTTTTATGAACGTTAAAACTAATTTAGGGGTTGTTTATTTACCTCTTAATAGTTCCATTAAGAGGCAACCTTTGAATCGTTAAGAGATTAATCTTGTTTGACAAAAAAAGCCTGTCTCATAATAATTCTAAAATCGTCTGAATGATTTTGTATCATGGTTTTTTCTTAATCATTCAGCGTCCTAATTCAATTGTAAACAATTTCCAAACAATTATATTTTATTTAACATTATATAATAAAAGCCTCTTATTTATTTTGACCACTAAATCATTTTGTATCAAACTATTTATTCACTACCAAACAACCCTTACTTTTACATTAAAATGATGTAAAATTTAATATTTTACGTTCGCGATGGCGTAAAGAATGAAAAATTAATAACTAAAAAAGATAAATTTAGAATGGAAAACTCGTCTAGTCAAATTTGTCTACTATTTCTAGTGTCCACAAAATCAAGATCAAAGGGCAAATGTGTCATTTTGATATAGCATCAAACCTCTATATATACCTCAACCCAATCAACTATCTCTACCATCAGAAAAAAAAAATGTATTCTTTTCACCTTTCCCAATTTACCCTCATTACTATTTGCATTTCCATTTTTCTCCTTTCTCCTCTTTCCTTGGCCTCACCCAAACCCCACCCCTTCAAAAAAGTCTATGTATTTGGAGACTCATATACAGACACCGGCAGCGGCAACTCCTCCACCGGACCAAGCATCTTCCGCCACGTGTCTAGTCTTCCTTACGGCGAAACATTCTTCCGCCGCCCCACCAACAGATACTCCGACGGCCGTGTCTTCATCGACTTCGTAGCAGAATCACTCAACCTACCCTACTTCCCTCCCTATCTTAACAAATCTTCCGACACCACTCACGGCGTCAACTTCGCCGTCAGCGGCTGCACCGCCATTCCTTATCCTTTTTTCGTGAAAAATAACCTCACAAGTAACATTATCCCACAGTCCCTTCCAACACAACTCACATGGTTCAAAGATTTCATCAAAGGCTCAGGCTGTAACGACGCCGTTTCAACTCCGGCGGAATGCAAGGCCGTATTCGACGGTGCATTAGTTTGGGTCGGCGAAATTTCTGCAAATGATTATAATTACGTATATGGCAGTCACGTCACCAGCAAAACTGTTCAAAAACTAGCCATAAAGTACCAAACGAGATTTATGAAAGAAATTTTGAAAATGGGCGCCAAGTATGTCGTCGTTCAAGGTTTGCCGGCGACCGGCTGTTTCCCTTTGTCACTGGTCGCACTTGCTCCTCCGACCGACCGGGACGAGATGGGTTGTGTTGCAACCAAGAACAAAGAAAGCTACGACCATAACGTGGTACTACAAGCGAAACTACGGAGTCTCCGAAAGGAGTTTCCGGCGACGGTGATTGTGTACGGAGATGACTGGCATGCTTACCGTGAGGTTTACGGAAATCCGGCAAAATATGGTTTCACCGAGCGGTTTAAAGCGTGCTGTGGGGTGAAAGACGGTGCCTACGACTTTAATCCGATGTGCACGTGCGGTGCTCCGGGAACGAGCTCTTGCAAGAATCCGGCGAGGTATATGAACTGGGATGGGTTGCACGTGACGGAGGGTTTGAACAGGGCGACCTCCAGGTTGTTTCTCGGCGGCGCGTTTGCTCAACCGCCGTTCCCGTATCTTTTGAAGAAGGCTGCACAATCTTGAGTGTAATGATCGATACATACATGATTTTGTATATTTAACGGTATTTTGTTACGAATAATTTGAATAAATTTATTTAAAATGTGCTAAATAACAATATACTTTTACAAATGTCTTTATTACAGTATTTCAGTTTCTGTTTTTTATTACAACAATATATTTTTAAAATATTTTTTATTAGGACATCGTACTTTTAAAAATTTACCCGTTATAGCATTGAGTAACCTTTTAAATTAAATTTAGCTATTATATCAGGTTTGTTTGTCACCTCATCGTCCACATAGGTTGTCCACATATACGATAGTGCTGACATGACATTTCTTATTATAGCATTGTATTTCCAAAATTACTTTAGTATAACATTACCAATTTCTATTACAGAATTGTACTTTTAATTTTAATATTTTTTTATCATTCAAACATTATAAATTCAATCAAATATGTTTACTAAAAGTTATAATATCATAAATTAAACATGTTCAGGAAAAATTATTATTTCACGAATAAAAATATTCATAAAAACCATTCGTTCATCGAGTTCATCGCAAAATTTCATGTCTTACAATCTGTCTTGTTGAAATCAATAATTTTTCTACTGCGTTCATTCCTCTTTTAAGTTTTGGAGTCCATGAAAGCATCTAAAGATAAAAGTGAAATTAACGACGGTACAAACAAATGAGAGCAAATCAAGTAGCAAGATTACCAAAACTACACACCAAACTTGATTCTCGTATTGCAGAGAACATCAGGGTTAGGAGTATGACCACACGTATACTCTGTCAATAAGGTAAGGTACCTGCAATATGAAGCAATAAGTTCCAATGATTGCACCACTTTCACATGCACACATACACAACCCTCTAGAATGATCTCACTAGAACAAAGAGCATAGGTATCTTATTGTTTGCTCCAAGTCTCGCTCCTTGGTTTCTCGGTTTTTAAAGGCAGGGACCATATGCAGTCTTTCCTTGACAAAGACCGCACAAAAAAGTAACCTTATTGTTTGCTCCAAGTCTCGCTCTTTGCTAGCATATTAACACATTTTCAAGATTGGCATTCGCGATAAAAGTGACTCTCATACATGCATACTAACGTACACGATTACATGCTCTCGTCCAAGGACTTATCATCAAAGCACCATGAAATTTCAAAATATCACACACATTTTCTTTTGACGCTTACATTTGAAATCACCACAAACAATGCATTCAAGAAGGATTACCAAGAATCTTCTCGTTGTTTGTATAGCCTTAATCTAACAGTTCCATTGCAAATAAACTATAAAAAGTGACGAAGGGTTTGCTATGAAAAATGTCATCCAAGCATACATTCAGGTGCACCAAATAGATTGTTTTGACTTCTGAGATCAACAAATTATCAGCTCACATTGAAATTCCACAAATTCAGTTATATCATTCACCACTTGAATTGGGCCAAAAGTACCACCCAGCCAAAGATTAGAAGTGCATAGTCTATATTGCAACTAACTTACCTTTTACAACTTGAATTTAATGGGTAATCAACAAATTTAGGAATTATATCCTACTTGCATCCTAATCAGATATTATGATCATAAACCTAAAATAGGCTTATTCATAATCGTATATGCAAAGTAATCTGTAGTCAAAAAGAAAAAAAAAATGCATACTTGGAACTAGATTTTAAGGTAGAAAGCAGTGTACGAGTGTCCGGCTGCATAGAGGAGGCGAAATGCGACAAAGTTGAATAATAACAGTTTATAAAATGAAAGAAGAAATCAAGTGATGAAGAGAGCGAAAAAAGTTTACTTGAAAAAAAAATTTGTGGAATAATAATGGTTTGTAAAATGAAGAATACATCAAATAATAGAGAGAAACACATAGAAGGGTTTGGAGGTTTCACCTTCAAGAATGAAGACGAAAAGGTTGGAGGTTAAACTTTTTAAAATTATCAAAACAACCTTATCATAATGAATTTCATGTTTTAAATATAAAGATGAAAAAGTATTTAACATAATTAATATTTTAAAAATTCAAAAATATCATAAAATTCGTAGATGAGAATCCTAGTAAGTAGATGTCACATTATTCTTAGTTGGTTTTTCTTTAATATATATATATATATATATATATATATATATATATATAGATGTTTATTGGATGTCATTTAATTTCCGAATGAACATGAGAAGGACAAGAATTTTGTCTGGTAAAAGACATAACAATGATCGAGACTCTTACCCGGTAAGTATGGAAGAAGACTTTACATGGTAAGCTTTTACCGGGGTACGGCTGAAATTTACTAACCAACAATTCATTTTGATGGCTGATGATGTTATCCGATAAGGTAAATGAAACTGACACTCTTACAAGCAGACAATTACCCCATAAATGTTTCTTAAACGCCCCTTTGTTATAAATGGGCAATTTAATCATGATTGCTACCTTTGTACAAATGGCTTTTTACGAAAACAATAACTAGGTTTATAGAATTTGCAAATTATTTGTCAGATGTAATATAAATTTTTATATAAAAAATCAGAAGATGTTACAAGAAAACAATTAACCGGAACGTAAAAAATTAGATAATTTCAGTCTTGAGCCTTCAACCAATTGAGATTAGTTGTGACCTCATTTGTAATCAGGGGAAGACCTATAAAACATCTAGGGGTTCTGTGTAATCGTTCAATCAACTTTCGTAGGATATAAGAAAAATAAAGGGATGTTAACCTAAAAACTGAAAAAAAATTCCCTTGAAACGATGAAATTTGATTATAAACACATGAAAGTTATACCTAAGACGTACTTTTTCTTTTTGCACTAAAAATCAATTCTATTTTATTCTCAAAATTGACACAATTGACTTTTGCCCATGTCAAACCGCGTTGACTTTTCTACATAATCAGGCTATGACTTACTAATCTTGATTCACTTTTGCTGTCTCTTGAGGCTCTGTTGTTGTTTTTGTCATTAATGCTTTTGTTTTTGGTTTTTGTTGTTGTTGTTGTTGTTGTTGTTGTTTGTTTCATGTAGGTTTTGGCTTGTTTGTCTATTTGGTATTTGTTCCTAATTGTTCGTTTATTAATAAACTTTTGCATTTAAAAAGTAACTTTTTGTTAATTTTCAGGTGAAGGGGAGAATAGTTGATTAAGCCATTTTTTTTGGAATAAGACTACCGGAATTGGACCCTACCAATAAATTTGGGTGAACGATAGGAGTTGAACCCCCGCATGATGGATTCATGATATGAATAGAGCAAAAAAAAAGGACATAAAAAACACCATACCACCCCCGAGAGCCTTGAGCATTGTGCAAGGACGTGCTGTAGAATTGTTTGAATTTTTATGTAAAAGATTTAAAATTCCGAGGACATGCAAAAAAAGAGAGAAATCTTGATTTGAATTGTCATCAATTTTTTTCTTGTCGTTAATAAACGAGATTCATTTTTCAAACAAAATATAAATACAAAAGAGAAAAAGACAAACATAACACAACAAAAGTTCGACGGTTATTCAAATTGTAGTACCAAGTTCCATTGATTATTTGAATAGGAAATAAGCGAGTACCAGTTTTGTGGAAATAAATTTGGAATTCGATTACTATTCTAATTTTGTGCGTGATTTATAAAAAACATTGGATTGAAAATCACGAGATCTGAATGAAATCCTTTTTAGTTGATCGCCATTTCAAATCAAAATCTAATGAATTTTAATCATCTCTTTCGCATGTACCAGTGCCCTAATCTCTCTCTAGTCTCTATTGTAACAAAAACAAACAAGTTATTTATAAAACAATCAAATATTTAAAAAAAATTGATTAATTAAAAATTTTATTTTCAAATTCTATAAACCAAACATAAAATGATTCCAAATTCTTTCACAAAATCTAAATCTATCAGAAATATTTCGTCAAACCAAACGGACGTTTAAAAATATCAAGAAGTAAAGACTATGCAACAAGAAGTGGCTTTTCTTTTTTCTTCAGGATTCTAAGGGGTTGTTTGGCAATTGCTGAATAGTTTGGTGCAGAATGATTAAGTGGTCAGACTGATTAAGAAGCTCTCATGATATAGTGCAAAATAAAATATAATTGTTTGGTAATTGTGTACAATGAAATTAGGGCTCTTAATGGTTAAGGGAGATCTAGGATACAAAATCATTCAGAGTGTTTTAGAACCATTAAGAGGCAGATTTTTTTTGAATAATATTCATCTCTTAACAATTCAAATGTTACCTCTTAATGAAATTATTAAGAAGTAAACAAACAACCCCTAAGTTGTAAGTTTTTTTTCCTTCTTTTCTGTTATTTTAAAAAACCACGAGTATGTGGATTGGTTGTGTAATACAATAATACAACACACAATTTGGAAAACTAAATTTGGTTTCATAAGTGACAATATTTAATGGTGTCAATTTCATTTAGGGTCTGTTTGTTAACAGTTCAATAAGATTAATAAGATTAACAACTTATTTGGTCAGGTATAGATAACTTTTTTTTATAATGCTTAATAATATTGAAAATGACTTATTCCG